TGTGTGTGTGTGTGTGTACCTGTGTGTGTGTGTGTGTACCTGTGTGTGTGTGTGTGTACCTGTGTGTGTGTGTGTGTAGCGTTTCTGCACAGAGTCGGAGGGGAAGAACACTCTTCAGTGTCTGAAACAAAACAAGAACAGCGAGCTGATGGATCCCAAATGTAAACAGATGATCACCAAGAGACAGATCACCCAGAACACAGGTACACACACACACAGGTGTACACACACACTCACAGGTGTACACACACACACAGGTGTACACACACAATCATTCTAATAAAAAATATAGGGGGTTATAAATTAAGCATTAGTGGAAGTTAATTAGGTTTTATGTTTTATAATTTATTTCATTTTTTATATTTGTTTTTTCTTTATTTTAAGGATTTGTTTTGTTTTATTAAAAGGTATTAAATTAATTATTTTAAATAATTTGTTTTTTATATTTTATTATGAAATGGTTTTTTTTTAAATACATTTTGTATGTTTTAATTAAATGTTTTAAACATGGTTTTTAATCAAATGAATCTTGCGTTTCCGATATATTCAACCTGTTGTGTTTTATGAGATGTATTTATATTAAAGTAATGCCGTGTTGTGTGTGCTGTCTCTCTGCCTGCAGACTACAGGCTGAACCCAGTTCTGAGGAAGGCGTGTAAAGCCGACATCCCCAAGTTCTGCCAGCCGATCCTGAACAAGGCGACGCCCGACAGCGAGCTGGAGGGGCAGGTCATCGGCTGCCTCAAGCTCAAGTACGCCGACCAGGTGAGACCAAGCCCTCTTACCTGTATGCAGAGGGGGAGTAGAGGAGTACACATACTTTGTTACTGAGTACATGTTTCTGGTGTCAGTAGTTTACTCCAATACTTATTTTTCTGACGACTTCTTACTTCGACTTCTTACATTCCATTTAACTGTAAATTACTGCTTTATTTTATTGCTATTTAATAGGGCTGCTCGATATATCGTTTCGTGACGATAATCGCGTTATGCGCATGCGCGATATTGACATCGCAGGACGTACGATTTTTTTATTTCTTTATTTTCTTTTTAAGGACGTGCGATATTAAAGTGGACCTATCATGCTATATTTGAATAATATAGTGTAGGACCATACCTATATAAGGCATATTTATACTTTTCATTTTTCAAAATACCAAACAGATCATGCATTTTAGCCATTCCTCATTTCGCTCAATTTAACACTGTCTTTGCATCATGGGCTGATTCTGTGAGAACAGCACCATCTACAGGCCTGGCATATGTACTACAGCGTCTCCAGCGCTTTCTGACGGCAATGTCCGTGGCTGTCTCCTCCTGATTGGTGGAGTTGGCCCAATAGCCGTAGCGCCACTTCTGTGACGTCATAGAAGTGTTCAAATCTGGATCAGTCTGGATCAGATCCGTTGCAGCCCCTTTTTAAGAGATTTGGGTATGGAGGAAAATAGAGAGGGTTGTGTTTTCTGACACTTGGTGAGTTCCCTGGAACACCGGGGACACATGTTCATGTATAAAAGACGTACACAAGTGCATTTTGCATTATAGGTCACCTTTAAGTAGGCAAATGAACTCAAACACGTCATGTTACAATTCTTTTGCCGCTTGCTACAAAAGTACTTGAGTGAGTGACAGCAAACCACCAATCACAATCATTCTCGA